TATATAAAAATTTATTTAAAAACATAATATAATTAAGCTACAATTCGCAAAAAGCCGTGCCTGGATACTTTCTTCAGGGGAGTGTATATAATGCTGTGAATATTCTGATGATATCGAGAGTTTCTCTGGTTAAAAAAAACTCTTCCATATTTAGATAGAATAAGAAGTTAAATGTTAGTGAAAAGCTTGCTAGACAAAGTAAAAAAATAACGTAAAGGTATAATAATTTTACTATACTTTCCTTTTAAATGGCTCCATTTACGACTCTTTAGGCTTGCATTTATGTTGGAGAAGAGACAGGAGAATATGTATTGAGTCTTACACCAAAATTTTGTGTTAGAGAATAAGGGCATTTGGAATGTGTATTGAAGATCTTAACATTTTCAAAGGCGCTGGAAATAATGCATATAAATACTTTTTTCTTTATTTCACTTATCTGACCGTTCAGTAATAAAGGTTTAGTAATATGATATAAATATACCTCTGGTTGAAATCTAGTAGGAATAGCCTGTAGCTCTAGAGGAAATAAACTCATAAATAAATGCTATTCAAATAGATAGAGAAATATTCTTAGGGTCAATTTCAAATTAGTTTGTCACACAAACAGTCTACACAAAGTTACAGATGATTTGCAGAGTATCACCTATTACATCATATATACTTTAACGAGAATTGCAAAACATGTTTATTGTGTCATATATACAACTGTATTTTATTAAGATATTATTCGGGATTTGGGTCAAAGACTGATCTGGAAAATTTGGCGTATGATTTTATAATTATTATCCAAATCTAAGAAATTTACGATAATATCCTTTTTTCTGTAAATATGATATTTGTATTTTAACAGCGAATCGTATATAGGCTTTTCCATTTCTGATGATTTACTTTTATATGTCTCGTATTTTGAAATTCTAATGAAAAATTCATAATTATATTTTTTTTATGAATGCTACTATAATATTCAGGATTTCGTGGCTATTTTAACATGTTAAGCTAATATAAACCTCTAATAACTATATAGCCTTGCTAATATAATAATTTTCTAACAAGTATGTGTGTCACAAAAGCTAATCGTCCCTATAATTGGATTCTCTTCTCATATATCCAAGTAGTAATAAATAAATGTTATGCTAATTTTTTACATAAAATTGGTCAATCACATAATTAGATTCTATTAGTTTTTCATTAATAAAATGATATGTTTTACCATGAGGAACCATACCTAAAAACTTTATATTGTCAGAAGTACTATTATTCCTTACCACCTTCTAAATTCGTTTTGTCAAAGATTCAGGTCTTTTTTTGTAATTTCTGTAAGCTTGCTGAATAACTGTTGCATAAAAATTCTCAAACTGATAGTTATATTATTTTATAATTAAGAATCTATAAGACTACTTCATAGATAGTTCACTAAAATAGTTATACAATATATTGGAGGATCTATCTTGAAATAGGCAAATCAGGTTTTTCTTCATATATATAAAGCATTTTATGCATAGCGCCTTCGGCTAATTATACTAGGTGATTATGTATGCAGATTATATAGCCATTCATTACGCAAAAAAAATAAAGTATAATATATAATATTAACCTTTAGCTGAAAGCAATAGTTAGAATTAGTTAGTTAAACTACTATGATTTTTGTCCTATTTCCTAATCTCAACACAGTGCCTTTTGGCTGTTTTATATACAGAGACGATATAAATAATTTGCCTATATCACTTCTACAATTCGATGATTGATAAGAAGTTAGTAAAATCATTTCTTGCCTGAAAGATGAAATATAAGCTGGCTCAAAATTTGAAGTACTAGATATAGTATTTTTTGCTATAGTTGTGATCTTGACCTTAAAGCAAGAATAATTCTAATGATTTTTTATCAAATCTTCAGACTCAATTTCATAGATCCATCTCCTCCAGCCACTATAATATTCCTTTCTAGACTCTACTTTGGTAATCTTCACCATTTTCCAGCATTTAAAGTAGATAGCCATTTGACTTTTATGAACACTAGGTCTACGATATTTAAAGGGAATATCATATAAATTACCATTAACATAGTATGTTGTGGATTTTACTTGTCCAAAGGAAGTGAAGAGACAGTATACATGATATAAACTATATTCTCGCTTAGAAAGTAATTCTTGCAAAGAACCATTTACATGATTAGCCCATTGCTGGGGAGTTTCATGAGGTCTAATAATAGATAAATAATCATATTGTTTTCTATTTTAACCACTTTTTCATACTGATAGTTATCAGTTTGAGGATAACTGTTAAAATCATATTCTATATTATATCTGAGGTGAAGATTGATAAGCTTAGAAACAGTTTTATTATAAATATTATCTAAAATGATCTTAGCCATAGCACTGAGCATATTTATTAGTAAATTAGAGATTTATAGCAATTCAGAGTTTTATAGTATTTTTAACGAATTCTGACAATTCTTTAGCAACTTATATTAGATAATATTACCATTCAAATTTATACAGATTTACTGATTAGCGATTAGTTGATTTGTAGCTGATTTGAGAGATTATATGCTAGTAAAACTAAATTTATTTTTTATTCGATTATGTCCTTGTTCAGAATAAAAAACACATTCATATTGGCTAAATTAGATCTGATTACCATAGACAGCTAAACTAAAATTTGTATTACATGTGATCTTCCTAGTTCCCTGCCAGTTTCTTGATAGTTTTAGGAGAGTTTCAGGAGCTAACAAGTTTCTATAAGTCATGAGATGATCGGTTAATTATATTCTGAAAAAATTAGACGATAGAGATGCAGTAATCCTGACGCAGAATCAAGAAATTCTGAACATTTATGTTCACTAATTATGTAATATTAGTATTGATCAAATATTTTTAGATATGCATATCTGCTAATTAGGTGGTGGCAGTGTCGGTCAAATATTTTGATATATATATATATCTTAATTATATAGTGTCAATATCGGTCAAATATTTTTGGACATGCATGTCTGCTAATTATGTGGTGTTAGTATCGATCAAATATTTTTGAATATGCATGTTCGTTAATTAGATAGTAGCGATATCAATCAAATATTTTTAGATATGCATGTCCGCTAATTATGTGGTGTTAATATTGATCAAATATTTTTGGACATATATGTTCGCTAATTATGTAGTATTAGTATCGATCAAAAATCATTTCAAGCTAATCATGTATTAATTAAAAAAATAAATAGCTGAACTGGCTAAACTTTATTAATATATGCAAAGCGCCTTTCGGCTGTTTTTAAAACACTATTTTTTTACATTATAATAGATATTGCCAGACATACAAGTCACAGGTGCTGTAATATATGACATAATACACTGCTGAAGGCGCTCAAGGCAAACTATCCCTGAAGCACTTTAACAATTACATATTTAATGTCTTTCTTAGACAAGGCTGTTATAGTTGATAATGAAAAAGTTTTAATTCTTTCTATCATAATCCTACCCATATTTACATCCACATTGATGCTACTGAAGAGACTATAAACCTTTTGAGCTTTTTCAATTCTTTTTTGAAGAGCTGTTTCTGAAACATTAGGAAGCTATTTCTACACATCATTCTCAACTAGAGACAGACGCCAAATCTTCATGTTTCAACGATCTATAATGATCATACCTTTTCTTCATTGCTTTTTCAAAATCAAAGTAATAGCAAAGAATATCTTGCGTTGTCTTTTTTAATAGGTCTTCACCAGCAACAATTTTATTATATAAGTTGAAAAAGATATTTGAGTTATTATTTGATTCAGAGGTGGGTTCAGTTTGCAAAATTTCTTCATCTTCAGAATTGGTAGTAGTCAACTCTTTAATCAGTCTTTGCAATATGAGAGATTGATCCTGATTAACTGCCTTCTTAGTCTTTCTTTGCCTTTTTACTGGAAGTAGGTGTGAAGCTGAGAGACACTTTGCATGATTCGTTACTATCTTCTCTAGTACATTTTTTCTGGTTTGTACAGACTCCGCCAAAAGTATCTGAACACCTTTTAGCTCAATATAAAACTCAAATTTTTAAAGTTTATTAAAAAAAAAGTTTATTAATATATTTATTAATGTATGATATGCTATACATTTTGTACTAAATAATTAGTACTTGGTTGGGCTTCAATTTGCTTCAATTACAGCTTGAATTTGCTACAGCATACTATCAACCAAATTTTTAATAGTATGTATAGGAATTTTTCGCCATGCTTTCTTAATGTATCAGTCGAGTTCAGCAAGATTTAAAGGCTTTTTTTCCTTTCACGAATGCTTTTCTTGACATCAGCCTACAGATTCTCAATTGGATTAAAGTCTGAACTTTGAGCTAGCCATAGAAGTACGCATAGATCATTTTCTGCATGAAATTTCTTTGCAAGTTTCATTTTATAGAGGCGAGCATTATCCTTTTGAAATATACCATTACCATTTGAAAATACACGTCTCATAGTTAGCATAACGTGCTTATGAAGAATGATAACATGTGAAGCACCATTTGCTGTTCCAAATAATGGAACAATGGGTCCCAAGTCTTGTCTTGAAAAACATCCCCAAAACATTCGGTCAGGGCTGTGTTTTACTGTAGCAGAAACACAAGAAATGTTCCACTTTTTCTGAGGTTTCTGCCACACTCGACTATATCAGCTTTGTTGAAATTGAGAAAAGGTCAATTCGTTACTTCACATGACTTTCGACCAATCATCCTTTGTCCAGCTTTAGTGATCCAAACACTATGCAAGACGTGCCTTCATATTTGCTGGTGAGATTAGAGGTTTTCGTCAAGTAAGACTATTGTTTAGTCTAACTGTACGAAGTATCCAGCCAATAGTGCGAGCTGAAACATTTTAGCTGGTCTTTTTTTTCCAAAATTGATGTACTTCTGCAGTGCATGAACAACGATTTTTTCCTTTATCATTGGTTACAAGTCGCTTGAGTCAGTTTCATTGTGAAGGTTCAATAAGAGATGGTCGATCAGAACGAGGCTTCAAATTAGTAGTTCTGGTGTCATCTATCCTTTTTAAAGTATCAAATACTGTTGACACTTCACAACTGACGGTCTCAAAAATAGTTTAGTAACTATCACCACATTGACGGCAAAAAAATATAATGCCGCGTTGTTTTGCTATTAATTCTTGGGTCATTTTCGTTGTTTTCAGAAATTAAAGTTTATTTTGATTTAAAGTCAAAATAAACAAACCAAATGCGTATTTATTAGGTTTAACTTATGTAAACAAAGTCTGGAACGTCATATGACCGCAGTATTATAAAGTCACATGACGTTATCTGTATGAAATTGCATCTAAACAATGGTGTTCAGAGACTTTTGGCGGGGGTCTGTAGATTCTTCCGTAAGCACTTCATCATTGTTATCTACGTCCTTGGGGGCTATCTGGTTTTGTAATCCCTTTAAAAGATCCTGAGAGAGAAAAGTTTCGATATCTCTATTACAACCATCATAAGGACAACTCAATTCACCATCTACCAAATACTCTTTGAGACACTTTTGGTGAAAAATGTGTCCACAGGAAGCTAAGGTAAATTCTTTGATTATGTCGAGTTCAAGCGTATAATATCTTCCCCGTATATTGGGCATGGATCTACTTTTGGAATACTAGTGTTCTCACTGGAGGAGGGGAGAGCGTTAGCTTTACTAACAATATTTATTACAAGAGCTTTGATATGGGATTTATCCATATTGCCTACCTTCGATTGTTAATCAGCTAGAAGATAAGGCATTAGAACAGTTGTGAGAAAAAAAGGGTCCCTTTTTATAGCACTTGTAAATATCGTAGGAGAAAACATTCCCCGGATCTTCACTAGCAATTACGCACCGCATTTCGTCATTCATTAATCCCTTGCAAATCGATAAAAGTGACAAAGGATTAGCATACGCATCTCCAAACCCATATGCGAAATATTGATTACTGAAAACAAATATCCATACCCGAATATTGTTTTGTTAGTATGATAGTAGCGTGCCTGGAGACATGACGCAAAAAATAAATGCAAATCAAGTAATGCGAATCGATTCGCATGTTGCACAGCCCCTATTCTTCGGCAAGAATTTTCCCAATATCATACTGCGCATTTCAGGTGATCGATCTGTTTTTTGGTAGTAAACGTGACATAATATCATGATCGATCGTTCCCCAAGGGAACGGTTTTGTGTTGTGCAGAATGATTCAAGAAAGAATTTCGACATTGATGTTTGTGCAATAAAGTGCTATTATGTATACGAAGCGACATATTTATTTTCCCGGTGCACACCTCACGCCATCATTCTTAGCTATACGATTAATTGACTACAGGATCACTTACAAAAAAAGTGTAATAAATTGGATCATATTGTAAAGAGAAGTACTTTATTAACTTCAATGAATACATAGAAACGCCGAGGATAATTTTATTACAAACAACGATCTCTGTTTAATAGGAGTTCGGTTCTTATTTAAATGAGGATCATTTTCTGACATCATACGTCGTCTTTTGTTTTTCGTATTATTTTGTAAGATTTCTTTTATGATTTTTTCTGATTCAAGCGATTTCGACTACATTGATTCTATATGTTAAAAATGCCGATTAAATACTAACAAATCGTATAATAGCTTACCTCTAGCAACCTAAGAATGCAGTACGCATCCTCAAGGATGCTTAAATCATCTTCATCAACTGGTAATTCGCACTTATCTAATTTACCAAATCTGTATATTCCGCATCCAATCCAATCCATAGCGTAAAAGCTTAGTTCAACTCCTGACACTTAAAATATTAATATATTTTTTTTAATATATACTAAATATCACATTGAACAAACTTACCAACTTGCAACCAACCGTAGACTATTAACTTTTTACGTTGTTCGTCTGTTACGTGCAAATAGTTTCTAAAGAATTGATTCAGACTGTCCCTTAACATCACCATAAGTTTAACTTTGTCCACAAATTGTTTTTTCCTACAGGAAGCGGGCAAGCCGAAAGAAGTCAGACCACCGGAAATTTCGCCATAGATTATTTCAAATTTATTCGGCGTTTTGACCAAAGTTCCTTTCATGTCAACCTTGTGTCCAATTCTAGCCTTCGTGAAGGGATTTTGTTCTTCATTCCGTGCTTTGTTTGTCGAGATTGCTTGAATTTCACCCCTATACTTTTGATATAATTGTCAACTGTAAAATGATTGAATTTCTCTCTCAAAAAAAAAATAATGATCTATTTACCAAGAATTATTTATATTCGGCGAATCGAAAATTCCTGAAAACAATGGAAATGTTGTTGACATTTTTAGCTCTTCTTCGGTACACGTCTTTTGTAGCTTGGGCAATTTATCTATCCTAAATAATATATAAATAGGAACATTAAATAACAAAAATAATTTACACAATGTATTCATTAATATACATACATGAATTGGACGTTCCTATCTAATTTTTTGATGACATCGATATTATCGACATCAACACAATTCCTGTCGAAATATTCTTGAATTTCTTTTGGGGCTGTAACACTATTCCACCCAATTTTGTTCGAAAAATCCTGAGATAATTTTTGTATATCCATATCCTTTATACCTGAGTTTTTGAGACTCTCCTTCGTCAAATCTAATATTCCCCAATACGCAGGGCTAATGAATAGAATGTATAGAAATTAATAAGCAGGATGAAATTGTGCTTACAATGATGGTTCTAAACTTACGTCAAAGCCTTGCGAGTTTTTGGTATCTTTTTTTGATATTCGTTAAATGCCTCGATTATATTTGTATCAGGGAACTCCTATTGATAATAGGATAATAAATTTGTCGAATGCTTATTCATAAAATATTTATAACAAGATTTACCTCTGATGTTTTGTTATTAATGTTTACTGATGGCAATCGAATTTCGTCCAATAGCGAATTCTCATCAACTTTTTCGATAATTTCCTCATTTGACTCATTAAATAGAAGTCCAACATTTTCAAGAAATTCCTCGTCATCTTCGTCTATTTTTTTGAACAGATCATCCGAATGGCTGTCTTCTCTTATAGCGTGCTTGTTGCGATTCTTTTCATCTTGAGGTTGCACCGTTGATATTGCATCAGGAGAACTTTATATGAACGGAATTAAAGTTAGATATGGCTTTCAGAAAAAAACTCGCGTGGCCTTTAAAGAAATACCTTTTGCTTCCTGAACCTCCGATTTCATCGATAATATTTGTCTTAATTTTCGTCTGAAAATTTAGGAAAACAAAATAGTAAGCAAATAATTGTAACATTTATAATAATATCACTTCAACTTCGAATCACCTTGGCTAGCAGTTCACTTAGCGTTAAACGAACTTTTGAATCCGCAATTTCTTTGCTCCGGTCCCAGATAATATCATTGATTTCTGACGATTTCTTACACTGCAAAAAGACAGTAAAAGCGGTAAGAACTTTAGAAAATCCATAGTATTATTTTTTTTGCATGTCTGCAAGCAGGATGTACACGCGAAAGAATCACATAGTGAGTGAAGCCATCGCGCTTCTCTTCCCCATCAGGTTAGAAAGCACCCAACCTTTCCTCGAAAGCACCGAGGGGCGTAGTACACCCAGTCAACATAATCACGCGAAAGAATCACATAGTGAGTGAAGCCATCGCGCTTCTCTTCCCCATCAGGTTAGAAAGCACCCAACCTTTCCTCGAAGGCACCGAGGGGCGTAGTTAAAAGCTGACAAACAGTCTTGCCTGACGCTCCTTCCTTCGCAATAAACTAACCTTTAATAATTTATGTAACGACAATGCTTTTTCTGCCACCCTTTGATCAGATGCTTTAGAGAGAATGTTCAACTCGGTAGCTAACGAAGTATGGGCTCGATCTTGTTTTTGATGGAGATTCGGATTTTGTTGGATCCAAAATATATCGAACGACTCAATAGACCAATCCTGAAAGCTGGTATTTAGCCAGTAATCTGCAAATCGGAAGTTACAAAGCAGTCCAGGATATTTTGCGTGCTACCTTCATAATAAAGATTTGGCGGAATGAAAATCGTATTCCGTGTAGTTTTAGGCTCTGACATTTAAAGAATAATTACGTCGAGAAAGAGTTTGTGCAGTGCATAAATTTTACATGTAATAGAAATCGATTGTCACACACACGTCAAATCAATAACCAATCAAATTTTGCGAAGTTTTTTATTGGTTAAAAATTTGGTGAACTGATCAATCACTGAAATGCGCAGTTCTAGACTTGCAATTTATTTTTGTATAGACCGCAGTTATCTATAGTCGTTAGTTATTACTTATTTATAACCGTAGTATAGCATTTATTCCCGCATGTACTCAATGAAATTTATTAATAAAGACTTTATACACTCTATTGTAAATTTATAAGGAGAGACCGTTGATCAGATTTTCGTGATGCGATCATATATCGATCCTGCAATTACATAAAAAGGTCTAGTGAACCCTTTTATCCGCCTTACATAAGAAAGCAAAATAGATTCACATAACCGGTCTATGCTACAATTGCGAACTTGAGTTTATTACTTGAAGTGTTGTAGGTAAAACAATATTCCAACTTATCTTGGGAATACAATTTCGCTAATTCAGGATCATAAGGGAACTGATTTCCATTTTCGCAGTACCATGAGCCATGTAATCCATAATTCCCATGTTTTCCATCACAAATAGGGCATGGTGAGCTCCACGGCTGAGGTGATGCAAAATTATAATTATCAATCCCCCTAAAACTATTTCGGAATTTCAATTATGGGAAGTGCTCTAAGACAGACTTGATAATTAATTCTGGATCGGGTCTGGCTTCGAAAGTGATATCAGAGGCTTGAGGTTCTGATGGCATATTATCACAGCTTTTGGTAATTGCCATGGCTCATTTCCAGTTTCTTTCTTATATGTTTTATATAATTTGGAGCAAATTTTATCTGTCAAAATGCTTGGTAACCCACTTAATTTGGCATGCCAATCTAGATATTTGGGGGTTAATACTTTATTTGACTTGGTCATATTGTCTTTTATATGATTGCAAATCAATTTAATTAATAGTAAGTATAGTCGACATAGAAGTCCTGTAAAAAAAATAGTTTCCCAAGGGAAACACAAATAAATATACAGTATTGTAAAATAATGAGATTATGCAGTTATCTCAATTTCACACTGTTCACACTTAATAAAATAGGATCCGGTTTTATATCTACCTTTTATGCTTTTCTCATCATCATGACCTAACTTGCATAATGGGCATAATGTCTTATCAGTAATGCCATAATAATCAAAGTCTTCACTACTATATTCTCTATATAAGTTGGAATATTGATCCAATGTCTTGTTACAAAAATAAGTGCAGTTATAAGTTGGATTAGATTGAGGTGAAGATAATATATTTGTCGATGTACTTACCTTAGCCTTAATCTGATGGTTAGTCAAGCTAACCATTTTTAAAATCACATGACTCTGATGTTCGCTAGTAGATTTTTTTGCTTGATTTATGATATTTTGGATTTGTACATTAGTTAATTTCAAAATTTCAATTGCACTATATGAAACCAGCTTAATTTTATCTATTCCAATCCCATTTTTCCCAAATAACATGAGATGTTTTCTGGCCCTATGAGTTTTTTGCGC